TCTGTGGGACGATTCGACGGAAACGACTTCAACTTCGGGACAAATTCGGCTGGATTCGGCGGAAGCAGCGAATGCAGCAAACAGAAAACAGAAAACCTTCGACTTCGGGATAGATTCAGCGACCTCAATTTAGGGACTGCGGGATGTGTTCGGCAGATGCAGCAAACAGAAAATCTTTCGTGAAATTAGGGCAATGAATAGTCGTTTATCTTAAAATATAGATATACTTTTAAATATAAAAAATATTCATAAGTATACCTGATGTGAAACAAACATGCAATGATGGTGGAGTTACTTTAAGAAAATTAAAGAGAGCAAATTTAACAAAATAATCCAAAATAAAACTATCACTTATAGCAAAAGATTGATCCTTGGAGTTCTCAGTTTTTAATTTGCTTAGGCAAAGTAGAGCGAAATCGATCAACCAAACAATTAAAGAAACACAAAGAGTAATTGTAAAACTACGACGATACACAAGAATCTATGATTTAATAAAGAGAACTTTCACCTTTGGAGTCCATACGCTCAACTAGTCTAGAATTTAGCGGAAGAAGAATCTCCACATTAGAACCGAGGTCATTCCAAGGAATAAGGAGCGTAAGATCGTCGTTCTTGGATAGGTGGCCGGAGTGGTGGAGGATGGCGGTTGTCCAAGGATGATCTAACGTCCCTTTGATCTTTGCTTGTCGATCACATCAACTAATGTGTACTGGATACGGTCGATGTAATCTTCAATAGTGTCGTCGAAATCGAAGCCCACGTCAAAGAACGATGATTGGAGGATGTCAACTTGATCTCGATCGTCATACACAAACCCAAAGTTCCATTCAGGTTCCGCCATGCATGGTGGTAGTGAGCGATGAAGCCAAAGAGGGGAGGCGAGCAAGTGAACCGTGAGCAAAAGAGGGAGGCCGGTTACTGGTTGGAGAGGGGCTGCGGGCGAGTGGAGTTATGGGGGGAACTAATAAAAAAAAAATCTGATTTGTAATTCAGATTTCTCAATTGGGAAGACTTAATTTCGGTTTTTGAAATTTCAAACCTGAAATTAGTCTAAAAGGAAAGAAATAAGGGAAGTTACAAGAGGGCTAATACGGGAGAGAGAGAGAGAGGAGTAATTGAGTGGTTTGTAGTGGGCCCGGCTAATTAATGGATTGTTAATTAAAATATGATTAAATCATCATATTTGAATTAATTTGGAGAGTTTCTAATTCGGCGTTTAGAAGAAAAGGCAAGCTCTTCAATTCCAATTCATTAGGATTTTGAATTTCAAAATCTGCTTAAAACGTTTGGAGCCAAATTAGGAAGGTTATAATGGGGGAATTAATGGAAATTGAAGAGGTGAGGGATGGGAAATCAGCGTCCAAGCCCAAGAACCAGTGGCCTGAAGCCGGCGGTCTGTAGGGGGGGCAATTCTAGCGGCTGGGGGGGTGAGGGGAGCAGGCTGGCGGGAGGCTATGGCAAAGGGAGCCGGCGGGTGGGGACGGGCCGGTCGATGGCTGGGCAATCCAGGGCGGGGGCGGCGGCAAGAGTAGGGGAGGGGAGAGTGTGGGGGAATTCTCGGGATCCAAAACCTGAAAATCCAATCTTCCACCAGTGGCTTCAATCCAAATCCACGCAACGATGATTTGATCAAGATAAACAAAAGAAAAGAGAAGGACAAGAAAACCAAGAACTCACAAAGAGATCTACCTTCTCCTACGAACTCACTAAGAGATCGTGGAGGTTTGCACTCACAAAGAGAACATGAACTCTAAAATTTTCACTCATCAAAAACTAAACTCTTACATAAGAAAAGGGCCATATAAATAGGCCTTAAAATGACAAAGACGACAAAAGACTAAAATGCCCCTTGGGCTACAATAGCTACCAAATACCCATAAGGGCAAAAACGGAAAAAACATAAAATAAAAATAAACTACTACATAAAATGATGAAAATACAGATCATGATCATGGTCGTCGATCTCCGGCATCTCCTGAAGGTACATGTGTCGAAATCGCTACTGATGTCCCCATCAATACCGAAATTTAAAACCAATTTGGCGCGCTATTTTGCACCGTGCGCAATGCGCCATGGCTCACATGTGGTGCAAATAGCGCGCACTATTTTAAACACATGCGCCTCGCCATGAACATGACACCGTTGGTGCGCCGCACCGCGCCGTGCTCCATGGCGCGCGCTATTTTGCGTCATTGTTAGCTATGGATGAGAATGAAATGTGGATATGATTTCAAGGAGTTTTGATCCTTCTTAGAATGGTATGGAACCCATCTTGCTTGGTAACTTCAAAAATCTTCGCTCTTTGCCCTTGCTGACAGGATGAGATGTCATGCATAGTAGACAACAAAAATCATCAATCCAACTCCCACAAATCCTCCTATGGGAAAATGTTGATGTTAGCTATGAACCAAGAGATGATCAAGATAGAGACAATTACAGATGATACGACTTGACTCATCATGGCTCAAATATTTACCGAAAGTTTCCCTCCACACCCATTGAGTGAGGTAAAATTAGAATACATGGGCTTTAAAGCTTGTACTTTTGTTTTTTATTATTTTTCTTTTTTGTTGCAGCCAAAATTGACTTTAAACATGTGCATGTTTCTTTAAAATGAAAATAGTTCTTGAATAATTCTACTATTTCATTTTTATTTTATTTTTCACTAACCCAGCTCAAATTTTGTTTGCATTGGCCTCAACTCCACTTGATAAGATGAGACAGCCTAGGAACTTATTGAACAGAACTTCAAAAACACACTTGTGGATTGAACCTCATCCTACACTCCTTTGAAGTCAAGAAAGTCTCCTTCAAGTCTTCAAGGTTCTCGATCAAGCTCTTGTGTTTTACCACGAGTTTGTCTAATTATAATATTAACTCTTTCTCAGATAGAACCTAAAGACATTGTTTATAAATCTTTGATAAGTTGCTCTAACATTCACCAAACTAAATGGTATGATTTAATAACAATATGCAGCATCACTTTTCACAAAACTTATCTTTTTCCATCAATCAGATATATGCTGATTTTGTGGTAGCAAAAGATGTCAAGGAAGCTCAACATTAGAGAACATGCAACAACACCAACTAAAATGTCAACGATCAATGGTAGGCAATGGTCCTTTAGAAAAGCTTATTCAAGTTGGCGAAATCTACACATATCCTCCAATTGTCATTGGACTTTTTTATGATCAACACATGAGAGTCCCAATTGAAATATTAAACATCTCAAATGAATCTTGCTTAAGAAAACTTATCCACTTCCGCTTTGATATATTGGTGCATTGAACATATAAAAGGCTTGTCCAATTTTGTGCATATGACTAGTGCAACTTTCTAACAGATTATTATGATAATTTAGGCAACGCTAATTAAATTATTCCACATGCTTAAAGAGCATTAAAACCCAATAAATACCCTTCTAATTTCTACATGAAAAGAGAACAACCATGAGCCAACATTTATATGATCTCAGAGTTATAGTGAAAGCTATAGTAAAGGCCGGGTTTTCATCCCAACAATTACAAGATATAGTTGAAAGGATAGATTTTACAAACGTTTATCTAGCTATGCTTGTGAAGGAGGGGGTTAGTGGAAAGCCCAAGGAAAAAAATTCAAGGAAAGGATGTAAGCCAAGTTGGACTGAAACACCATAAACTGATTTACCTAGTCTTTTTTTTTTTAATTTATTTTCATTTCTTTATGTTTTACTTCTAGAGAAACTTTTTTATTTGAGTTTTTGTGATATTATCTTAACCCACATTCAAAGCCTTCACAATCCATGACCAATATTTCGAGTGGTTTGATGAGGCTATAATAGCATTGACTTGGCTGTCTATAAACAATTGGTATTGACTTCATTGAACTGTGCCCAGTCATATAAGGGGTTCCATAGAACTTTGAGACAAAATTTCATGGTCCTCTCTCTCGACGAATGATAGTATGGTGGCCTCCTTGTAATATATAGTTCCTCATTTCCACATCCCTGCACCTCTCAATAGGAGAATCAAAATATGAATGCCAAATACCGACACTCTGAGTTGCATATGAGATTAATGAGAAGATAACCTTGAGAGGAGATGAAAGAGTGGAAAAGTTTGATTAGATGACATATTTCTTTGTAATAGTAATTATTGTTAGACAAAGAATGATCAATGAATCTAAAATACTCAAGGGATTTTAGGGAGCACAAAATATTCCTTTGATTACATGAGTTTAGCAATTTATAATCTTCATTCTGACTTATCTCCTGCACAGAGGATGGAATCAAATTAGATAATGCACTCTATTTAAATTACGAAGGACACACATTAGCCTCTTCTTCAAGAACTTGTACTTGCACTAGACGAGTGAGATTCATTGTAGATATTTGGATTATGCATCACTTAATGATTGGGAGAGCGCAAATGTCTGGAGCATGGATCTAACTACATTATTTATTATCTACCTCACTCAGCATCTGACCGACTAAAGTCTCTTTCTACTTGGAAGCGAGCTGAATAGTTTAGCCCAGTGTAGCAAAAGGCTTTAATGAATGTGAAATCGACACAGGTGAGTCTAGTTCCTTAATGATTTTTTTAGTCTAATCGATCATCATTAAGCTAAATAGAGATGGATTGTGGGGTGGTAATTATTGGATTTCAAGTGTCTGAATACGCAATTAAATCACATTTGGCTGACCTAAGTTGAACATTTCCTAATAACTTTGGTTTCTTTATTGCCACATGTATGAATGTGATGTGTTCTTGGAAGGTGGATAAATTAATGACCTATATTGGTTCAATAACAATTGCCATTTCATCTGGTCAAATGCAAAAGACATAATATCGATCTTGTTGAGTCATATATCAACGAAAAATGATGCAAAATCAATTAACTTTAAATTTGAAATCTTTGTTGTAACTGACCCAGAATGTCAAAATCATGGTTTAACAAGGATAGCTCCTTTGACAAATTAAATTGGCTAAGTAGATATTAGTGTTATCATTTTTATTCTTTACCTGAAGGATTTGAATATTTTCTTCAGAAGGCTTCTTTTGTCCACGACGACTGCATGCTTCCATTTCTTGTAATTCTTGGGTTAGAGATGAGCACTCAACCTATAAAAATTTAAGAAAATATTATATGCAATTGTGTAATCTTTTTTAGTACAAATGAATTTTGCCAATATCATAAAAGATATGGAGGAAAATATTACCTCCAGTAAAGCAACTTTGTGCTCCAACTCATTGGCTCTGGATGTGCTTTCATGTGCAGTTCTCTGTGTATGAATGGGATATGTAAGACTCCAGTAAACAATAGTAAACCCAGTACAAACTTGGTAGATAACAAATAAGAAATACATGAAGTATAAAATAATAGTTATCAATTTTCGAAGTATCTCAAAATTAATATTACCACGAATAAGATGTTGCATGAAAGTATCCAAATTAAAATGAAAAAAGCATATCTTTAAAACTTTGAATTATAATTTCATCATAAGAATTAATATTTAAATGTTCATGGATTGTGCAATTCTTTTCTTTAAAAGGGCCCAGTTATTTAAAGTTTTGTAGTAGCTATTACATTTGTAACTTGTAAGCTTTCTTACCCTTATAATTTCAATTAAACAAAATCTAATTCATGATAATTAATATTCTGCTTGCGTGCAAGAAGATAAAATTTTGAAGTCAAACCACTCTGAGCTTGAAGTCGTATGAAGTACACAACAATGAACAAACAAAAGATAAACAATGAACCAAATAAGGAAGCACTCTTCAAATGTAAGATACTTGATTATAGAATCTATTGCACCCAAAAAATAAAAATATAATTTCTTCCTCTACAGGGAATTGATGGAGGACCTTAGATGATAATCCCTCTCTTGATCTTCTTCTTCCTTCTCTCAATTTTGCGTTTGAGTTACTTGTTACTTCATTAACTTCACCCTTAATGTAGAGTGGGATGAATTAACTTTGTTTAAAGACATAGCTAGAAAGAGCATGGTGGTAGGAATTCAACAAAAGTTGGAATCATAAGATATGAATATGAAATTCTTTAATTTTTAGTGGGAGAGAAATAAATGTGCGAAGAGAGAGAGAGAGTAATCTAGGAGAAATTTTTTGCTTTGAATTGTACTCATAATAAGTTTAATTCATTGCAATGAATTCATACCCCTAAGTATAAAAATAGTTAACATGATAGTTCCATACTATTACAAAGTCAAACCTAGATAAATCTTATGAAACAAAATAATCCTAAACAAAAGGATAATTCGATTGAATATTTTTTGGCTTATCAAACTGATTAAAAATAAAAAAGAAAATTACAAAAAAAGCTAAAAAATACAAGAGTACACTAAAAAATTCTAGAGTAATACATAATATCCTCGACACATTTTCTGCATTGCATCAACTCCCACGGGGGTAATAGAACATGCCCTTGAAGTGTCAACACAAAATTACTTTAATGGAAATAACACATGAGCATCTCTTGAATTCTTAGCACGGGCGGAGTAAATACAATATATAAGATCAGGATGATTTGGATCACAATGCCTACATGCATCAAATAACTTTCTCAAACTAGTACACCATGGTTAATGATCCCACATTTAAATGGTAGTTGTAGCAGTGGTAACATGGATATCCATATTTTTTTGCGAGGAAGAAGACAACAATTTTTTAACATTGAGACTACTTGTATATCTAGTGAAGAAATTTACAAAAGTACACGAATTTGTGACTCAATTTTATTTCTAAATGTTAAGGTACGTTTGACAATGACATGATACAAGGTATCATAGTCTCAAGCTCAACAATAGGGTCACACAAGATTTCAAATTTTGTGGAGAGCATGAAAATTAGTGTAATATTAGAAAGTTGACATCCCAATGGCTTTACTTTTCATTTTAATTTCAAGTGTTAATTCTCATCAATTTCTTAACTTTCTTCAAAAGACCATTATCATCTTAGCTAGACTAGGAGCTTCAGAACTATCTAATTGTCTCGCTATTGACAATCTAATTTTTTGAGTAAATGGACACGACATGTTGCGTAGCTTCAATAATATATATTTCTTAATTTACTTCATGTGCCAAAGCATTAAACTCATTCGATTATTTACAAGTAAGCAGCATGATGCACAATCTTCAGCATTATATAAATCAGATGAAACTAATGAATGTTGATATTTATGAAATGTATGGGGAAAACTACCATATAATGTTATGAATATTTTTATCATGCCAATATGTTATTCAAATTGTTTCACAAAATAAAAAAGGAATGAAAAAAAGCCCAAACCACAAAACTATAAGTTTTCAATGAACTCAATTTTACATGATACTTTAATTTTTCTAGAAAACTTTAATATGCGATAATTCCCACTTAATAATTCAGTGTTAATGTGTGCATCAGTTTCAAGCATGGTGATTACACAATCTATATAGAGGCAGTGAGCAATATCAATGTTCTACAAGAGATTCTAAGTGAACAGTATTAACTTGAGAATCATTAATTGTCACCATTTAAAGGAAATCAAACCTTACCATAGAATACAAATGAATTTCCACAAACATGCACTTATCCAAACGTAAAGTTCACTTCAACAATTTTGTTGCAATCAACATTTCTTTCCTCCGGAATTGCCCAATCTTGATCCAGTCAAATGTGTACTTTCAATCTCACAACAGATTTTGTAGCCTTTATGATATAAGGATTTTGGTCAGGGTTTGGGACTAAGCCTAGGTTAGAATTAAGTTTTTTATTTTATCCTGGAATTTGATGGAAATATTCATTTGTTGTATGTCAAAGCACCTAAATCTTTCAGTTGTTTACAAGTGACATGATGCACAATCTTTAGCATTATATAAGCAGATGAAATTAGTGAATGTTGATTTTTATGAAATATATATGAAAAATTAGCATCCAATGTCATGATACTTTTTATCATGCCAATATGTTATTCAAATTGATTCACAGAATTAAATAGCAGGCAATATCAAGTAACAAAGGCTGTATGTTTTCAATGAACTCAATTTTTACAGAATGCTTAAATTTTTCTACAAAATTTTAATGCATGCAGATTGAGAATTCATAATTAGGGGTTAATGCGTGTACAGGGTTCAGGTGTGGCATTATGCAATTTAAATAGTTGTAGCAAGCAATATCAATGTTCTAAGAGGATTCAAAGTGAACTTGAGGGAAATGCCTCGAGAATCATTAATTTATTGAGCTTGAATGAGATCAAACCTTATCATATAATACAATTGAATCACCAAAAATGAGCATGGATAAAAATGTAAAGTTCAATCCATGAAGTTTGTTGCAATCACCTTTCTTTCCACCGAAACAATCTAATCTTGATCTATTCAAATGTGTACTTTTGATCTCCCAACTGATTTTAGAACCTTTAATGGCAAAAGAGCTTTGGTCAATGTTTGGAATTGGGTTTAAGTTAGAATTAGTGTTTTTTTTTTTGTTCTGAAATTTGGTGCAATGAGAAGGACAGGTGAAGTAACGAGAGTGGGGACTTGGGTGAGGTTTTATAGAGTTTGTATTTTTTTTTATGGAGGTGAGGGGCTCCAGGGTGGTTAGGGTTAAAAGAATGGAGGTGGCATGCACATGTGTGTGTTGGGGGTCGGAGGTTTGCCAAGACGAGAGATGTCTAGGGCTTTAGAATAGAATCACCTTTAGGATAACGACTCTAAAACCATTTTGATAAAGAACCCTTGATACTAATCTCTTTCTTCATTTCCTTCCTTGTCATAATTTTTCATTTGAATTACTGGTTCTTTCATTGAATTCATCTTTAATGAATAAACTAGTCTTTTAGAGAACTTCATATAAACTTAATGAAGAGAGGGATGAACAATGATTATAGAGGCAACAAGCTAAAGAGAGAATAGTAATTGTAATTCAGCCACGTAAGTGATGGATTTGAACTACTTTGATCTTTGTAAGGAGAGAAGAAAGAAAGAGGAGAGAGAGAAAGAGAGGGAGAGGAGAGAGAACATGAAATCCTATGAGGGAAAAGAGAACTTGCTTTGAATTTCATTTTGAAAAGATAAATTTATTAACAATGCATACAAAATCTTATATGTAACAAAATGGTTATATAATAAATCAAAACCATTTAAAATTTAAATATATATAATTCCTAACAAACAAGATAAATACAAAAATAATCATCAAGAAAAGATAATTAAATTGATTGTTTTCCATGAAAATCAAATACATTAAAAAAGAAACAAAAATATTAGAATATTCCAAAAAAAGTAGATCAATCCAAAATAATTTCAAAGTATGTTGTGTGCTGCATTGGCTTCATCGATTTTGACCAACGGCAGGTTCAGTGCCCTTGCCAATCATCCTCAAGGAGGAGCACCAGTGATGTGATACCAATGGCATCCATCCTCGGTGGGGAGCTCCCTGGCACAAGGGCTCAGGAATCCCCAACGGGAGGAAGATGGCTGCTAAGGAAGGCTAATTAGGCTTGATTTTGTGGAAAGGTTTGATCTACAAATTATCAGGCGACCCTGACAATTTCATAATTGGTCTGGGTTTACCTTGGGATTTAAGCTAGCCAAGGGATTCATGCAAGTATCTATTACTATGTGAACATTGATTTAAAAAACAAACCAGATCAGAGATGTGCAACAGATTATAAGAAAAGGCTAGAAAGGTAAAAAAAATTAAACATAGAGCATAAAAAATTAACCTGTATCCTAGCAAGAGCATTAGATGCCTCAACAGCTCGATGCTCTAGTTCAACTTCTCTTTCCACTGCAGCCTGTTTACTCAAGAAATGACTTCAGCAGCATGGTAAAAATTTAGATACAAAAAGATGGTTTTACACAATTCCAAACAAGCACCATTTTGGTAGCATTGTGTGCTGCACGCTCTGCTTCAGCCCTGTTCTCCACAGTAGCAAGCTCTTCCCGCAAAGCCTATCCGGAAAGAATTAAAATTATTCAGACATGAAAAGACAGCTCTGTTATAATGATATGTCATACAGCTACAAATTTTGCCTTTAATGACATCAACATACTTGAATCATTCTGCTCTCCGTTAGCTCCCTACTCCTCATAAGTGCTTCCATGTTTGCCTGCGTAGATGTAAAAATCGATGTCAGTTCCAACACACTAAATGGTTCCAAGATAAATCCCACAATAAAAATGCTCTTTTTTCACAAAGACAGCTCAGACCATAAAAAATTTAGAATAGAAACCCCCCAAAAAACTGAAAATGAGAGGCGAAAAGAGTAAAAAGGAAAGAAAAGAAAATCAGACTACTGTAGTAAAACTAAGTCCATTCACAATAACCATTTCCTATGAAAGCTAGAAAAAACTTAAACCCTGTATAGTTTATTTTAGTTAGTTAACTATTATTCCACTGGATCTTTCAACATGGATAAAATAGGCTCATGTCTTGACGTGATGTGATTGGTTGAGAACAAGGTTTAAAATTGCATAATTAAGCCTCGAAGCGGTTTTCGTCCGTGAGGCGAGGCGTAAGCCTCGAGGCGGTCTGAGGTGTAAGCCTCACGGACACAGAATTGCGTAAATGAGAAATTAAGGGTTTTTCTTACAATAAAAAAAAAAACATAAACACTAGATTTTCTTACACTTGAAAAATCTAACCCTAAACTAAAAAAAAATACCTAAAATCCAATGTGGAATACTCCTAGAGGGCGGCCGGAAGTTTCAACTTCACCGGAGAGAGGCGGCGCCGGCGGGAGAAGCGGCGGGAAGGGAAGCTGGCGGGTAAGGACCGTGCGGGAGCTCTCTGTTTCGCGAATTGGAGCCGTGCGGGTAGGAAAAATTCGGGAGGAGCTGCTGTCGTGCGGGTTTAAGGAGAAAAAAACATTCATTTTAAGTGGGTGGATCCATTCCCATGAGGCGTACGCCTCACTAAGAATTGCGCAATTGCGCCTCTGAGGCGCGCCTCAGTCCATGTCAGGCGTACGCCTCTGCCAGGGATGGAATTGCGTAAGCTTCGAGGCGGTTTTTGGACGAATTGAGCAGAGGCGCGCCTCAAGCCGCGCCTCTTATTGCGCAATTTTAAACAAAGGTTGAGAATAAACAAAATAAAACAAAACAAAAGGAAAAAAAAAAACAAGTATATACTTAAGTTTCTAAAGAGCAATAGCAATTGAATCAGCAAGAACAACTCAAAGAACAGTCTATTGAAAAGGGGCAAATCATGGGAAAACACACCTGTAAAGATACGAGCTTTCCTTCTGAAGTAGATACTTGTTTCTTTAAAGTATCAACTGTGCCAACAAGAGACTCAATTTCAGTGTTCTTTGCAGCTAAGGCTTCAGTCATATTTGTTTCCGCTCTTGCTGCTTCAGCCTTCACTGCAGATAAATCTTGCTGCAGCTGCTTTATGCGAGCTTCATATGAACTACTAAGCTCTCTCTGTTTGCAATATTGAAGTGATGAGAAAGGATATGCAACACCTCTCACAATGGCAAGAAGTTTAACTTGAATAACATCACAGGATCTCAAAGTCAGTTCACCTCAGCAACAAGAAGTTCCTCAAGCTGAGCATTCTCAGACTTGTATTCTTGAAGACGAGAGGAAAGCCCAGCACAAACCTGTTGATCAGTTGATTGGATATTAGTCTCCTTAAAGGAAAAAAAAAAAGTTAATTCAACACAACATATAGAAAATAGAAATCAATATGCTGCTATGGTTTGTCAAAGGTAAGAAAACAAATCGTGCATGAACATTATTAACATATTGAATCTGAAATTTTGAGAGAACAGACCTCTACGTAGTTCCAATTCACAACTAGCTTATTATTTGAAAGAATTACACCAATTCACACAAGTTCAATTTGCTTGGTAATTGACATCTAACTACTTGTAATGTCAGAATAATCATGACTAGCTCCTGATGCATTAAAACAAAAATTCCATCGTCATGTAACCACACAATGTAACTAACCATTATCTTAAATTTTGGATGAAAAAAACCACGCTATATTGGAAAACTCAGGCCATGCGTTAAATTTTGGAGTTGACCTTACGAATTCCATCTAGAGCCGACAATAGCTTTGCATGTGATAACAATTGCTTTTGTCAATACTAAAGCTGACTTGCATCAAGATTAGTTGTTTTATACCACAAAGTGGGGACAGGTCCGACTAAGGAGGCTCTCTTAACGGTGTTCTTGGTTAATTCAGCTAGCTAAATCCATGGGATGATTAAGGAGATGCAATCCTGGATTAGATTAAGCCAGTGAAGATATAAAGGATATGCAAATTTACATAGGGCAAGCTTACGGACTATGCAAACCAACTTATGTAGGTCTAGCCCAATGGAACAAAATTTACATAATTATTTAAATGGCTTGTATGGGAGCATAGCGAGTCAGCAGTGCGGTGGAAACCAGCTTTTCTTTTTCCTCTCTTGTCACTAACCATAGAATAAATTATATTTATTAAACAACAAGCTTAGCCAGCCATACCCATTTATACTTTATTAAAAAAATCTTCGTAAGACATTGAGATAGGCAATTAGCATCAGGAGCAGGAAAATTAAGAAAAGTGACATGTTATTTAGTTATTATCCTATTATCACGCATGAATCAAGAAGATGGCTTAAAATCAAGTATGAATTAATTTTATATTAACATTTTACTCATTCCAGGAGATCTTTCAGGACTGGAGAACAGAGGCATCAACTAATCTCCAGCTCATGTGACACACTATTTCTCATGTCCTAGAGTCCTCTGCCTAATTCCTTCGATCCTAGGCCACCCGCACATGCCCTCTTGTCAACCTCCACTCTTAACATTGTCGTGTTACGAGAGCTTGGTTTTGCTCGCCTTCACACAATATCATGTGGTGTTCCTACGCAAGTCTCACCAGTGTAATTTGTTTGAGTGGCCTTAGCTCCCTCACTTGATTTAGTATTGGTCGTTTCCTAGCACCTTTGTGCCTCTATTGTGGGACATCATCGTCTTCAAGTTTAGGCATTCGCACTCATGTCGTCTCCAACATAGATACCTAGGGTGACGACCTTATTGTTTTAATATGGCACACTCATAGCTTATTTCTATTTAATATATCATGCCAAACGTTGTATCACCTCACTTTTATTGGCTCTGGATCATTTCTCGATTTTCATGCTATCGCTTGTGCCAATGACTAATGCATTCACACAATTGGAAGCTTACTACATGACCGCTCTTGCACCTACGATTTTGACAACCATGAGATCTCCCTGAGACTAGTGCCCTCCATTCTTTCACAGATGTTATCAAGGGGGATAAGGGTCCTAGTCGTCAACTTCTCTCCTCTTGATTCCCAACATATTTGTAGCATGGACTTGTACCAACTTATCACAAGTTGCAACTCTTCGATCAAAGTAAACCAGTGCTTATTTTTTTAATGAAGAGATACTCTAAGTTAACATCTCTTTTTCTTTCTCCCTTTGTCAGTAAACTTTATGAAGCCATTCCAATATATAGATTGCTCATAGATTCATGACCAAAATTAGATTGGTTGGAGATTATTCAGTTAAACTTATTGATTCTCACCATATTTTTATCAAGTTATCCCCAAAAATTGATTTTTCAGACTCTTTTCAAGGATATCATATTATGTGAATGAGTTCCCAATTCAAATGCTTAATTGGTAAATTCATACTTTCCAATAGCAAATAGTACACCACGGCCAAAAATTCTCCATGGAGCCATAGCGCATAACATAGTGCAAGGCACACCATTTTAAACATGACACAAAGTATTAAATTATTATAAATAAAAATATGTATTAATATGAAATATTATTAAATTGAAGAATAAAAAATCATCATAATAAAAATAATCACAAGTGATGCTTAAATTCAAGTGATCAATATATCTCAATCACTTAAAATTCAAAATATTACGATCATTTTTTCAAATCTAATATTTTTCTAAGAAAGTAAACTAGTCTTCTTGAGAGTTATCATGATCACCATCAAAAGTCCAAAAAGCCTAATTTCCTTTATCGGTATTATATCTAAATTCATAATCTTCTTCGTCACTCTCATCGTCTTCATTTTCAGTTACAATATTGTTAAGCCTAGATGAAGATTTCTTCTACTTACCTTCATATTGTTCTTAAATATTGTAGCTTTTTATTTCATAAACACTAGTAGCTTTTGCAATAGTACTTCATGTCAAATCTTCCTCCTTAATAACTAATTCATTATCTTCATCTAACTCATCATTCATTTTTTTCTATTAGCCACTCATTTGCATCATCTATATCATTCAAAGAAATAGTTAGTCAGGTCACAATGGTTGTATCAACAAATTAATGCCTTATTATATTTTACATAAATTAAATATTGAAGGCGACTAATCCATTCTACTTCTTTTGTTATGAAGCTACAATTGAAAAATCTTTATAAAACTTCATGAAAATAATAAGTACAAAATATTTTGTACTTACAAGTTTATATATGCTCCAATTGCATTAACATCCAAATGAATTATAGGTTCGCAAGGAGGGCTTTGATCCCAAAAATTGTAAGTATAGGTCTTCTTTGTCATATGCTAGTCATCAATCATTTAGAATTAATGAGATATTTAATAATATTCTTTATTATTAAAATATCAAAATAACACAATATTAATAATATTTTTACTCATGTTAACTAACGCTCGAGTAGTTATTTGTCTTACAATTAGAAGATACCAAAAGAACTCCACCCCTAATATATACAATCAAGTCATTGATAATTTTGTTTAGTATATTGATATCCTTGGCCAATCTTTCAATGCATGCATATAAACCATTAGTTGTTTCCTTGTCCTTTACAATATCAGGTTAATCAAAAAAACTTAGGGGTGTAAGTGAGCTAAGGCGGCTCCCAAGTCGGCTCGAGCTCAACTTATTAATGAGCTTACAAATCGAGCTTATCAAGCCATGCGTTCAAACTCATGCCCATACACGATCTTGCAAATTAAACGAGCTCGCGTTTAGCCTAGCTCATCTCGAAAGCTCATTGAATCACTCAACAACAACATCAAGCCTTTGTCCCACTATGCAGGGTCGGCTACATGAATCCTTTTTCGCCATTGTGTCTGGTTAAAAGTCAAATTCTCATTTAAATCTAATAAAGAAAGATCATTTCTAAATCTCATTGAATCACTCAATTAACTTAAAATATATTTAAAAATTAATTTAAATTAACATTATATAATATATTTTAACCATTTAAATTAATTATATATTAAAACTAAAAATACTCAAAACTAAACTTTTTAATTTAAAATTAAGAAATCGGGCTCAATAATTGAGTTTAGCTCGAGCTTTTTAAATGAGCTCAAGCCTATAAATTTTTTTTAACGAGAGCTTGAGCTCAATAAGAACCAAACAAGTTTAGCTCAATTAGATAAATACTTGACACGAGTCGACTCATTTACACCCCTAGAGAAACTCCAGCCTTTTAACGTATATACTCATTTCGTCTTCTATCCCAAAGTGTAAAACCACTCATCCACCTGAGCATTCTCATCTCTGCAACACTAGAATTAATTTTATGCTTTTGTTTTAATGGCTATTCTACACTACTATGCATTACAGATCACACAACCATCTTATAAATTTTTCCTTAAGTTTCAGGGGCAAATTTTTATCACACAACAGGCTTGATGTATTCCTCCACTTCAACCATCCAACTTGAATTTTACTAATAATATCCCCATCACTCTTTTTAATGACTCTAAAGTTGACCTCTATAAATCAAGTATTTCATCAGTTCCCTCTCTAGTCTTATACACACAAAAAATATCATCAACAAAAGACATACACCAAGGTACATCCTCTTACAAATCTCTAGTAAGAACATCCATGACTAAAGCAAAAAGATATGGGCTTAAAGTTGATCCTTGATGTAATCCAACTGAATTAGGAGAATACTTAGTCAAACCACCTTGTGTTTGAACACTGGTAACAACTCCTATATACATATCCTTAATAACTTGAATATAAGCATTATTAACTCTTTTTTTTTTTCTAGAAATCTCCAAAGGACTTCTCTTAGAACTTTATCATATGCTTTCTCTAAATCAATAAATTTCATATATAGATCATCCTTACTCTCTCTATACTTCTCCATCAAACATCTCAGTAAATGTATAGCTCCTATAATAGATCTGCCCAGCATGAATCCAACTTGATTTTGAAAAATATTAATATCATGTCATAATGTATGCTCAATTACTCCCTCCCATAATTTTAATGTATGTTCAATTATCCTAAACCCTAAATCCTAAATGTTCAACTATCAGCCATAAAAAAAAAACAATCATATCTAAGACAATATTCATTATGGTATTGCATTAGTTCATGTATGTCTCACCCCCTTTTTCAAGCAAGAGATGTGCACCTCACGACAGTAAGGATGTTTATCCCGTGACCAAATTGTCCAAATGCCTCTACTATAGCAAATAAGCTATCATATTAAACATCATTGAATAGAATGTCAGCAATCATATATCCATCGACAAAATATTTGAGTTGTCCTTTCTCTTATTTTCTTCCTAGCAGCATCCATCTTTTTGTAAAACTTACCCTTTATTTGCTTCACCACATCATCAGTATTTGGGGTAAAATATGTATCCAATGGTCCTTTAGACCTTAGTTCTTTAAGCACAAAAGTAGTTGAACTTTAACTAGAGGTATTAGATTTTGTTGTCTGATATATTTTAGATGGTCCAACACAAAATATCATCATCTAGCATCACATCAAAATCATCACTTTCATTAATTTGGCCTTTTAACTCTTTCTTTTCCTTAAGGAATCTTATTTTTCATCTTTCACATGTTTGGGGCAGTTACATCAAGCTCTAGCATTTTTTTAAACCCCAAATCAAGTCTATTTGTGATGAGTACTCCACACATTGTTATTTGACCACAAGAAATACACACCACACAATTCTTATCACCTTCAATTGCCAAGATTGCATATTTCTATGCAGGATATTTCTTTGTAGTTTGAACTAAATCCAACATTTTTTTAAATACCTAAAAGCAAACATACATTCAAACGTTATTGCCTTCATTTCAGATGTATGAGTGAAATGGTGAATAATGAATAACACAAATTTAATGACTTTGTCATACATAAATTTCAATTGAAACTTTAGTCTGCAAGAATAATCATAAATATTTAAAATCAATAAAAAATAAAAAAATGAGGAACATAAGCCTTCTTCTAAATTAAGGCACACTTACATGTAATGCCAGCGTCCAATGATTGTGTCCAGGCTTGTATTGAGGTGGCCGTGACAGAGGCGTCCAATGATGTGCGTTGAGAGAGGTGTCGACTTTCTTGCGTGGATGGACAAGAAGCGGGGCCTTGCAAGGTTGTTTGGTGGTGGGAGCATAGGAGATGAGATGATTGAAGCCGAGAAGAATAGTCTCAAAGCCACTGAGAGTGAGAGACGCGAGATACATGACAACCTGATCGCCATTATTTGAAGATGATATGCTGAGAGGGAGAGAGAGACGTGCATACTTGATGTAATGCATTCTCTATTCGAAGCTAAAATGCCCTTATGTAACTGTCAAAGACAAAATGTTAAGAGGGAAAGGTAGAGTGAGCGCATGCGAGCGTGAGAGAGAGAGAGAGAGAGAGAGAGAGAGAGAGAGAGAGAGACGATGTTCGAAGACAACCTACATGGCACAAATAGTGAGCACTATTTTTAACATGTGTGTCGCGCCAAGAAAATGGCATTGGTGATACGCCACGCAGCACTATGCGCCATCATGCAAGCCATTTTGCGCCATTAACATGTTGCTTTTCCTCATCTCGACATTCACTATATCAACCTACCCATTATTTGTTCTCTTGTCTCAATTTTGCGCCATTAACATGTAGCTTAGTTGATGCTGGTACTACTAAGCTATCTAGGCCACCGGTGGCTAGGGTTCTAATTGAAATGGTCATTATTATTCCTTTGCAAGATATTTTGATTGGTTCCATTTGTAGCTACTCACAAAAGATAGAATTTGAAGGCATTCCCTTATATTATTCTTTACAAAAATTTTAGTTATAACATTTCATGATGCTTCAAGATGCACTTAAAATTACAAAATCAATTGACACTTTAGTAGCTCGCTCTCTATTTGCTCATTTCAAGGGAGAACGAATTAATTAAAAAGTAAAAGGAAGACAAAGAAGAGAACTAGAAGAAAGAAGCAAAAGAAATCTGAGACAAGGAAGATATCTTCCACATAAAGGTAAATTTTAGCCATCATCAATATAATTCTAAATCAATATAATTCTACTTTCCATATATCTCTAACTCTCATAGTAATCACTGTACACTCTCTCCAATTATCAACATCATAAATATAATCTTTAAGCAATACCTAATATTTGTTAAAATTTGAAAGGTTCCTTCTAAATTAGGTTCAGAACCTAAGAATCATCAGCTTCATGTTTAACATGCAGTACAACCAATAAAGACTACTGCTTTGCTATTCTCCATCTCAATCTAAGAGAAGGTTTGTCATTAACCCATCGCAATCTGGGATCAATGTCTTTAACTGTTTAATAGTTATATGAATATCCTTACAAGAAAAAACAAAAATCAAAATAACACTAAAAGACAAGAATTCAAAATGTCATGTCAAAGGACTAGCTAACAAAGGAAATGAGGGTAATTTGCAAGTTTACGCTTGTCAAAAACATCAAACAAACAAATGATCTAAACATTAATTAGTTGTCTTATTATGTTATAGATATTTTGTAATTTTCAATTTCAGTTTAGTTTATAAACATGCCTGCAATAATATGACTTATGATAATGGAATATGTTATCAAGTGGTTTGGTCCAACTCGAGTGGTTGGTTTGGCCGACTGTTGCTTTTAATTTTGGTGGTGGTATGAATTTATGATCTTATGGATCAAGAAGGAATAAGTATTAAATTGTCTTAAATGCTCTGAAGATGTTCCTTTAAGATGGTAGGTTCGGTTTTGTAACTTGGTATTGGAAGTTACTATGCTACTGCGGTAGCATCAATAAGTCATAATTGCAATTGCCTTACATTCTTTAGAACTATTCAATTTCCTTCAGGATTTGCTCTGTTGTTGCTTTTGGCGAATGCATTGCTTGGGTTCATGTAGCGCTATCAGTCTGACATTTATCCCTATTCTATTGTTGCAGCAAACTGCAGCTCCGATAGCTTTAATGATTTTATGCCATGGGTCGTACTTTGGCAAAGAGTTATCTATTTGTTTCCCTTAGTAGATCGCTATTTCTTTCTTTATTGCAAGAATTGTTTTACTCCTTCGGGGGCTATTCCTAATGCTATCTGCTGTTAATTTGATTGAGCAAACTGCACTTATCTGCAAGGCCAGTTTGCTGCTAATTTTAAACAGGATTCAACATGGGATCTGCCGCATGACTTTCTCTGAAAATTCCAGGGATGGACAACCTAAAGTGAGAAGCATACAAATAGAATTTTTAACGTACGTAAATAGTTTTCTTTTGATTAACAAAATTTATTTATTTTTTCAATCTTGTATGTGCTTGCAGCATGTGGGATTCCTTGGAGTGAGGCATGAATTTTCTTTGATAATCTCTTTTCAATATTAGAATTATTGTTACATATTTGATTACTGGTGCTGCCAGGGTAATTTTGACCAAATTTCCTACAACTGGAATTTCACTTGAGGTGAAAATATTCAATTGCTTGTTGTTTTTTGTAATTCAAATTTCACGTTGATTTTTTTGAATTTAATCATTCGTTACATTCTTTTTTTGACTTTTAATAGGACACAATGGAGAAAAAGGATTCATGTAGCCGACCCCACGTAGTGGGATAAAGGCTTGATGTTGTTGTTGTTGTAATCATTCGTTACATTCTTTTTTTATTCAATTCATTATATTTTCAGATTTACACCTAAAGAAATTTTTTTGTTGAATTAGTGGTCTTTGCTATGTAGAAAAAAAAAAGTGGTCTTTGCTAAGTAAACAATTATATCTTTTATGTGATCTACAATCACGGTACCATCATAGTTGTATTGGAAACTCTAAAACATTAGGTGTCCTGCGTCAATAAGAAGAGCTGCTAGCTAAGGAATCATCAAATGAACAGGAAAAAAATTCATATCATTTATATAATTCATCTATACATTTAACAACTCACTAATAGCAAAAAGTATAATCTTTGAATAGATAATATGAATTGGTAGATAAAAATTTGAGAACTCTTCAAACAAACCTTGGCTAGCCTTGCCTCTTTTGAATGCCCAGAAGAAACTGCAGTCTTAAGTAATCCTTGAGCCTGCTAACCAACATAAAGGATTAGTACATGCTGAGCACATGAATAGGAATAAGAGGTAATTAGGAATTTAATCTAACAGCATAAAACTACTTTGTGAGATATTTTTGAAAGGAGAAAACAAATTACCTCATCAATTTGGTCTTGAACTTTCATAAGAGCTGAACCAGTTTTATTTTCTACCTGTTGGTTTGTCATTGGTGATTCTTCTGGAAAGGACTCTTTTTCATGGCCATTGCTGATAACATGTTTCTGAGCTGTTTGACGCTCTCTACTCACATCATTAAATGCCAAATGCGTATCCACAACAGCTGCACTTCCTTTAAAAACAGTATCAGCGGGATGATTCCCATTAGCATTTTCAGGGCCTTCACCCTTTACTTCTTCTGAATTTGCAACAAGAGAAGTATCATTGGTTGTGGAATATGCTAGTTCAACATTATTCTCTATAGTAGGAACCTCTTTAACTTCATTGGTCTCATTCTCAGCTTCAAGAGTTTCAGGGACACCTGAAGATGCAGCATTTGATATTTCTACATCTTTGCTGGTATTAGATAGCACTTCCAAAGAAGCTTCAGATGTGATTTTGGCAGAAACTTCCGGAGCACTTCCATTTCCCAAATGATCAACTCTTTCAACCTTCGAATTGAGCTCTTCTTGAGCAGTCTGCTCTTGCTCTGCTGAAGCACTCTTCCCAGTTTTACCAACAGTTTTCCTTGGTGGACCCTACAATTAAATGTCATAACAAGAAGCATTTACTTGAATAGGACATCTCAAGCAATTATGATAAGAAGAAAACTTCAAAACCACATTTGACTGACCTTCGCCTTAGATTTTAAGTTTTTGGCTTTCACTTCCCATTCATTGGATGCTTATTATCAAAAAAGTTAAAAAACAAGTAAATAAATCATGTACTGATATAATGTCGCTAAATGACCTGATATCCAAGAACTATACATAAAACCCATACCTGAGGCTTGTAAATCAGATTGTTCCTCTGACAATTCACTCACAACAAGTTTTGCTCTTCGGTCCACAACTTCTAGAAGATCTGATCCAGTGTATGACATATGTCATAAAAATGATTCCAACCATTACAGTAAATGACATTTCTAGACTACAAAATAAAGCATGCCAGCAGTTGCATGACTAAGAAAGTTTGCATGAAAGTGTACATCTCTATGCCTTATTAAAGACTTGTTATAAAAGTAAATTTTATCAAACAATAATTAGGATGACAATATTGTATGGAACCAGGTGTTGGACTTTTAAAAAAATTCATTGATATCTAATTTAAATATTGCATAAATGAAAACGTAAAGATGGATGTATGATAAAACTAAAAAGGATAAATTAAGGAACAAATATATTATAGGAAAGGTTAGAGACGCATCTATTAAAGATAAGTTGATTGAAAAATAGATTTATGTGGTTTGGACATGTCCACAAAGGGTAGAAAATGTGGCTATAAAAAAATGTTGGTAAATTAGTTCCAAAGAATTAAGAAAGAAAATTGGTAGATCTAAGATTACATTGATGGAAGTAGTTCAAAGTGATCTGTGAAGAATAAGCATAACACCCAAGCAAAATTTAACAAGAACAAACAAAAAATTAGGATTTATAACGCTGACCCCAAATAGTTGAGATAAGGCTAAGCATTTTGAAAACATGAAGGTTTCGTTGAAAACATAACTAAGTTATGACATTGAAGCCCTTTTGATTGTATGGCTTTATTCATAATCCATGATTATGCATTAAGTTATTAAAAAAATTTGAGCAATGTTTTTGGATCCCTTCATGTTTCTAGTTTCATACAATATGCTCAAAATAACATGAAAGAGCAGCAATTCCCAGGCATGTCAAATAAGAACAATAAAAGTCACAATAAGCAAACAATGATCGTATAGAAGGTTCTAGAGCTTAGATTGCTACAGTATAGCACATACATTTACATGGGTTATTTTGTTTCGTCTATGATGGAAAGATGAATTTCCATTGATGTTCGTCCAATCTTATTTTAAATTCATTGTTATCTAAATTGTAGGGGTGTCAATTTTTGACACGACCCGAAACACGACCCGAACCCGACCCAGAAAAATCCAGGTTCGGGTCAACCCAAACCCGAAACGGGTCGGGTTCAACAAATCAACCAGTTTTAAAAATCGGGTCGGGTTCGGGTTGACCCAGCAACCCAAAATTGACTCGAAAGTGATACGAAAACTCATTTTTGACCCGAAAACCCGAGATTGACCCGTTTTTTACCTGAAAACCTGAGATTGACCCGATTTTAACCCGAAAACTAGCAATTTTGGTTCAAACCAGGGTCATTCGTGTCGGGTCGGGTTGACCCGGACCCGAATCGGGTCGTGTTCGGGTCCGAAAACTTGACCTATTTTTAAAAACGGGTCGGGTCGGGTTGACCCGAATAGTACTGGGTCAGTTCCAGGTTCGACCCGAACCCGACTCGTTGACCCGAATTGACACCCCTACTAAATTGCAACGTTACCTCAATTTCAGTCAAATATACCATTGTTATATTATTCACACATCACTAGCAAGGCATCTGAAGGGCCCTTGATAAAAGTGAATGGGAAACGACATTTGAATTGTTGTTTTATTTGGTTTCGACAATGAAATATGATAACTGAGGTAATTTCGGATAAATGTCATTCCTTAGTAGTTCTAGGTCTTAGAAAGTTTGCAATCTACAAACTCCATTCTCAAACCAAGATAAAAAAATTAGAGTAGCTACATTTTTGTGGAATACGTGCATTAAAATCCATTTCTAAAGCGTTCAGACGCACTAAGATCCACAAGTGAAGAACACACGAGCTTCATTAACTAGAGCTAAGAGCTCGAGTAGTGAAGTTTCCCAATAAAAAAAGAATATAAAAAGAAATAGGTCGAAATTTGCAACCCTAATTAGCTTCAGATCTATCACCAACCGAAGAAACAAAAAAGCGGATGACCTATACCATCAATTTTGAGAAGAAAAATAATAGATACAAGGAATTAGACCTGGTAAAAGGCATTAGATTACCTTCGGCTACCTTGAGCCAGGAAGCCATGGCGGGAAAAGACACGGAATCGATCGGCGGCTAGATGCTAATTGGTGCTCCGAGAGATAACAGGATCTCGATACAGATGCAGGTGCAAATGTGCAATGACGATCGAAGAGATAGGGAAAGAGAGGGCGCGGACCCAAACGGTGCGGGTTCTGGAGTACGGAGGTTGCGATCTGGAGTTTGATGGAAACGTCAATCTGGCGAAAGTAGAACTAGAAATCGAAGATGAAATTGATCAACCGAAATTATAATAGAAGTCCAATATATTTTGGGGTTTACATGCCATTTATAAAAGCTAAATGATTATTTCATTTGATATTTCATTTGACATTCCATTTATATTTATTTATTTATTTATTAAAATTTTAACAAATTTGTCATCCATCTTCTTTATATGGAGAGGTAGTCAAGATACCCCCTTCCATTAATGAAGATTTCATTTGCCTTTCATTAATGAAGATCTCATTTGGAACGGCTTCATTATTTCTTAAAGTAATAAGAAAATAGTCTCAAATGAAGTCGAAGTATTATATCATATAAATAGTATATTTTATTGTTAAAAATATAAACATAATGGTTTAAGCCAGGTTTTAAAAACCGGATCGGACCGGCCGGTTCAACCGTGAACTGGCCAGTTGTCCGATCCGGTCCAGTTCAAAAATCAGCTTCACAGAGAACCGGCCTGAACCGGCAGTTCAACCGATGAATCGGCGAACCGGTCAGGGTTTGAAAGAACCGGCCGGTTTAAAAAAAATTTAATGATAAATAAAATAGAAATAATATATATTTTACTTTATTACATTTTTTAAAAATATTTTTTTATTAAATAATGAGAATTTTTACACTATAATATATGGTTGTCATCTCATGAAACAAGTTTTGTTTGAAAAGAGAAAATTAT